TTGATCAAAAGCTCTGTGCATGTGTCAGGAATTAAGGACTCAAATTTTACTGAACCATATGCTTGCTTGTGGGGCTGAGTATATATCAGCCATATTACAACGTTATGGCTTGCTGTGGAAGTGTATGAGATCCTTGATATCTTTCTATAACTGCAGCTGAAGTTAAAAATTTTCTCCGCATAAAACCAGTTGTCATATCTTTGGGAGGCCAAATTAAAATTAAGAAAGAACTTGTAGAATTATAGTTAGGGGACATGGTGGAGTGAATTCGTTTTGGTATCAAATGCCAAACTAAACTAATCAATCCGAACTGGAAACAAATTTTCAACAAAACCAAATCAACCCAAATCCAACCAACCAAATAAACAAGCCAACACAAGCCAATAAATTTTGGATTAATTTGGTACAGACCCGCCGTAGAGCATAGGGAATGTAAAGTGTGGCTGATATCAGCCGACACTATACTAGACCCACATGGCCTCTTCAAAGTTATGAAGGGTGCAATAAATTCTACCTATTCAATTGAAGCTATAAGTGGAGACGAGTTGTTACTTGTGAATTGAGCAAGAAAAATGGGTTGCTCAAGATCATTGATTGTGAAACTTCACCTTTATACCTGACGACAAACTTGGGATGCAAGTTCCACTTTGCACGTCCTATGCCCACTTTCCCCATTTTCGGTTAATGAGAGTTGTGCGTGATCGACCCCCAACCGTGTTCATGTTATCCCACAATTCATGTGGATTGGGGAGTGCGAGTGTTTGAATATATCCACTAACCCACATCGGGCCTATTGTGTATGCGTGCATGTGTGGACCCACATTGAGTGGTGCACATCCGAACTCGCATTAAGTGGCGTGTTAGATATTTACCATAGAAGCCAATATAAAATAGATATTTCTAAGAAAATAATATATAATAATCAAAAGGGCAAGAACGTTGCTTTAAATACATAACGTATACAAAGTAACAAGTCTATGGATTAAGATATAAATGGAAAGTGATCTAAAGAAGTTAGATGCACGAGACCTTTCCATACATATAAATATCATATCCTAAAATGTTCTTGGTCATAGGATCACCAATTGGACAATGGTGACCCGCAAAAACTGGTACACATTATGTCTGCTCAATTGGGAGATGACTAGTCTCAAGTCATTCGTGTAGAGACATTGAGACAGATGTGTAGGTGCTCTATAAAAGATAGAGTCCACTGAACGCGATCAACTCTAGAATTCTTATATGGAAGTCTTACTCACAAGTGTTAAACAAAGAATTCTAAGTTGTGATCATGCAAATTAATCCTTAGACTTGAGACATCACAGTTGTCTTGTGTATATGTTGTTTCTCTTTGAGAGCATTATACTGTCGTATCAAAATGATGTGACTTAAAGGTGTTCCTCATGATTCTCAGTGTGTACGTAGAGACAGGTGAATGTACAACAAGGAATCTCTGCTTTTAGTAAGAAGAGAGAATAGTCTAAAAATATGATTCATGAATCTTTGGCCAAAGTATTGGATGGAAATTGAAACAAGAACGTTTGCAATTTCATCAAATTAAATAATATAATTAAGAGATGTCATATTAGGGATTATGACACAAGTTTAACATATCCCGAGAATATGACATAGAGTATTGAATTAGAGAATGATCGAATTGCATTGTAATCACAAACTGACTAGGTTCTCTAAATGAATTCTTTTTAGCTTGGGTAGCCATGACATACTACTAGGTGTCACTCATGGCTTGTAGAAGCCCTGTAAAGACTAATTATAATTAGCCTTCGCCAATAGGGAGAATTGTATGAAGAGATACAATTCACACTTGATTCAGAGTGAATCATTTATACCCACTGCCTCGCTAATTAAAACCTATAAGATCGCACAGTTAAAAGCAATCGATTGGGAAATTATGAAGAGAATGAATGATTTTGTGACTTGGTCAAAGTTAATGTGAAAGTCAAAGGTCAAATCTAATGTGAAAGTCAAAGGTCAAAGTCAAAAGTCAAATAGCTGACCCAATACTTGACATGGTCAACTAAGGATGACTAGGATCAACACTCGTTAGACAAGTGTGTGATTGAATTAGTCAAGTCACTTGAGTAATTAAATTAATTAGATTAATTAATTATTCAATTAAAGTTATGAAACTTTAATTAAAGGTCCCATATGAAATTCAAAAGGAATTTGACCATATAGACTTAGGCACATATGTGACACATTATAGGATTAATGTGTTGGACCAAGATAGCAAAAGATGACACACAAAAGCGGGGTGTGGCTACACTAGGGCTTGGGGGCATTTTTGTCACTCTTATGACATTTTTGATCCTATAAGTGTGTAGCTATGGAATCTTATCATCCTAGGGTTTTCAAGTTGGTGAAATTGGAAGGGAGAAAACATCAAGTTCTCTCTCCCTAACCACTTGAATCTATCACATCAAGTGAGGGTGCTAGCACCACTCTTCACTTGTTGTCTACTCATTCTCTCATCCCATTCAATCCTTGGTGAAGAGCTTTGGGGAGGTGCATATCTTTGTACCTATTTGGATAGCTACAAGGTGGAAAATCAACATTAACTGGAGAGACAACAACAAAAGGACCACTCCTTCTTCTTAAACACCATTCTTGGTTTCATGATTTGCTCCAAGAGTATGAACATCTTATCTTTCTCTCAAATGAGATTTAGAGTCTTTGGTGCACACTTTCATAGACTTATAAAGATTGTGACCAAATAAGACTTGCATGAATCCTTAGTTTATTTAATGCTTCCACTCTTACTTTGATTCATATTAGATATGGCATGCTAGGTGATTTATACTCTCAAAGTTTGGTTGTATAGTTTTTAAAAATCTTTACACAACATCATTCCCACAATATTCCCTTCATGGTGCACATCTGAACTCGCATTAGGCTTATGCGCATGTGAACCCACATTGGGCTTATAGGCATGTGAACCTGCATTGGACCAATGCCCATCCGAGCTCGCGTTGGGCTTATGCGCATGCAAACCCGTATTGGGCCAATGCACATCCAAACCCGCATTGGGTTATGCCTAAATCCAATCCCATGACGTGGCTAATTGGTAGCAAATTATTTTGCTCCCACATTGCCCCCTTTTTTCCTCTTGCCATGTCACTTGTGAGTGGTACAGGGAAAAATATATAAATTGGTACTTACCCCTGAATTTCCAGTACCTTGTTCAAATTTGACTAAACTTATGATTGGACTTGCCCAAAAGTTTGCGAAACAAGAAACCTAGCCGATTTGGTTCGGCCAAGAACTGAACCCCCACATGTGAAGAACCTTATGTGGATGTACCAGACTTAACTGGACTTGTCTTGCTTCCTTTTGATATCTAAGCTTTGGTGTCACACCCCAATTATTTTTTATTATTATTTATTATTATTTGGGAATGTGAGGTAAAAGAAAAAAAAACTAAAACTAAAAATTTAATTATCAAGAAACATGAAGATTGAACGTAAACTTCCATTTAAGTCAAAGTAATTTACATTGTATTATTACAAGCAAAATAACAAGAAAGTAACAAACTTTCAACAAAACACTCAAAACTATCCATAATCCGTTCTTCTTGTCCTTACAGCAAAAACTACACTTCAGTTTCAAAGCCTGCAATAGATTCAATAAGGGGTGAGCATTACATGCTCAGTAGGGGTCCTATGTCTTATGTGATTAGTGAGATTTATAATGTACAATTTATACAATGCATAAATGAACTTCAATTCTACCCAACCCGTTAATCTATATAATAGGGCAAGCAAATCTGCATGTCCCATACCATGCATTTTACCACTGTGATTCCGAATGCCCCATTATATAAACTAACACCCATTTCAATCATCCCATAATTCCCCTTTTGCTAGTCATCTTGTCTACACCATTGATCTCCAAGC